GGCGGCAAGTAGAGGATGGGGTGAATCCAAAGCTAAGGGTTGGGTCACGCGGCCAGGAAGGCAGCTAACCTAATTGCATATGGCCCACTTTGTGTCAGGTGGCCCTGCAGGAGAAGGCTGACCAGCACTTCCTCTTCCTGCCTTTGGCTCTGGGTTGCTCTAATGTGACTTGTGTTAGGACTGTGGTTACATAGCAGTAACACAACCGAACACGTTTCCCTGTCAGTCGTGCTCGTCCCTTCCCACCATTCCATGTATAAAATGTGTTACCTGCCATTATTTTGTGCTCGAGGTTTTACCTTTTACAAACCAGAAATTAGCTGTACATACAAAGGTTAAAACATAGTGTGCAGCTGACTTTGTTTTTTGTTGTTGTTGTTTTTTTTTTGAGATGGAGTCTAGCTCTGTTGTCCAGGCTGGAGCGCAATGGTGCAATTTTGGCTCACTGCAACCTCCACCTCCTGGGTCCAAGTGATTCTCCTGCCTCAGCCTCCCGAGTAGCTGGGGTTACTGCCACCACGCCCAGCTAATTTTTGTATTTTTAGTAGAGACAGGGTTTCACCATGTTGGCCAGGCTGGTCTCGAACTCCTGACCTCAGGTGATCCACCCGCCTCAGCCTCCCAAAGTGCTGGGATTACAGGCGTGAGCCACCGCACCCAGCTGCAGCTGACTTTTTAGCTTTTTTTTTTTTCTTATTAACATTTTATCTACTTGGCTATATTTGTTCTTAAATGGAGAATTGCTGGTTCAAAAGAAGTAGGTGGTTTTTTTAGTAGCTTTAAACAGTGGCCAAAATGGGGTCCAGAAATGTGGTTCATGCCTGCATCAGCCAGCTTCTCTACGCCCTCACTAGCAAAAATTTTCATCTTTTAAACATGTGCCCATTCGATAGGTCAAAAAAATGTTTATTGTAATATTTTATATTTCTTTGATTTCTGATGTTAAGTAAGCGGCCTTTATTATCACTAATTTTATGAACTTTGTGTATTGGTGTTGTTTATTTTCATATTGGGCTATTTTTCCTAATGCCAAAAACCTTTTACATTTCAAATATTAACTGTCATCTATGGTATAAAATACTTTCCCCCTCACTTTTTGGTTTGTTTTTACTTTGGTTGGTTTTTATAGTGCAGAAAAGTTGGGCCCATCTTTATTTTCCTGTGTCCCACGTGGTGGCCTTTCAGTGGTCTCTGCCACTGGAATTATGCTTGAGCATTTGCCTGACTGTTCCTGTTCTCTGCTGTTGTAAACAGTGCTTCTGTGAACACACTTTTGAACCGTATGTCTTTGTGCACATGGGCAGATGGGTCTGTGAGTTAGATTTCAGAAGTGGAATTGCCAAGATAGGGGATGGCATTGTATTTATGTACTGACAGTTGATGGGTATAATTGAGGGGTATATTCAGATTGCAACTGCAATATCATAAGTATTTATTGGATCTAAGAGGTTTCAAAGTTGATTCTTTGGGGTTTTCTAAATTGACTTTCTCATGTCCCCTGCAAATGGCCAGGTTAGGGTATGACCATGGATTCAAGCTGCGGATGGTGAAGGGGAGGGGAGGGGAGGAGAGCCTGGGCTCGGCACCAGTGTAAAGATGTTACGGCTGCCTGCACCCACTCCGTGGGTAGCACAACCTCTAAAGGCCTCTACTAATAGTTTTGTTTATTGTTTTAACTTTGAATTTGTTTTTTTGACTAGGTAATACATGCTCATGGTAAAATAAAAATAAAAACAAAAAACAAAGGGAGAATATACAGTGAAAAAGTAAGTTGCCCTCCCTTTCCTGGCCCCTAGTTCCCTTACCCAGAGGCAACTGCTATTAGTCATCATTAATAGTCTCTTATATATCCTTCTAGAAACCGTCTGTGTAAGCACATCTGTTTTTAGTTTCCTGGAATGCTGTATACAGCGCTGTGTTCGGTTTCGCACATAACTATGTTAGAGATCATCTCATATTCATTTATTTAAGGTTGCCTTGTTTTAAAGGGTTTTACAGTAATTCATTGTATGAACATAACGTATCTTGTCTATTAACAACACTTCAGTGAATATATTCTTACACATAGGCCATTACATATCTCTGAGGTAAATTTGTAGAAGTAGAATTTATAGGAGAGGGAGGATATGTGCACTTCTAATTTTGTTAAAATCTGCATTGCCACAAGCAGTATATGAGTGCCTATGTCTTCCCGCACATACAAACATATGTTGCCCAGCTTTATGATTGATTGTTTTGTTTCCAAAGCCCTTTCTTTACTCCCAAATGAATTTCTGCTGCCATGGTGGGAAGTTGCTCAGGTCTGATTTTTTTTTTTTTTTTTTTTAAGTTTTTCTGTTAAAAAAATAACTTCAATTTTTCAATGGCTTCTATTAACCGAGGGCCAAGTTCTATTGGCCTGGTCTGAAAATCTTGAGCATGTTAAATGAAGATTGTGTATGTTTACTCTAATCCTGAATGTCTTGAGGAAAAGCAATGTGTTTTTTTTTTTTTTTGGCACAGAAGTTGGCATCCACCTTGTGACAAGATACATGTGGGCATTCAAGTGGTCACATAATTAATTGTAGGAAGTCCTCCATCTCTTTTCTGTGCTCTGGAATGGTTTTTATGGCATGGTAAATATTTTATTCACAGAAAGTTTATTTGGGAAGTTGCTCTTTACATTATTTCAGCTTTTTAGATTTCTTCCCTAGTGGTCATATTTTTCTCTGCTTCTTGAGTCAGATTCGGCTATTTGTATTTTCTTCAAAAAAAAAATGTTATTTCCTGTTGAACTCTGTAAGTCTACCATTCTGATATATAGCTTTTACCTAGGATACTTTATGCTTCAATTCATGTCTTTTGGGGAGAGAAATTCACATAATGTAGAAGCATATATACGTATATAGATGTTACGTAAGGGAATGTTAGTTTTATCTCTGTGCCTCAGATGTGTGTTTCTTGTCTTACTGTAATTGGGTAGAACTCCATAGAATAATGTTCAAAAATAGCAGCATTAAGACTTTTATTTCTGCTTTCGTGAGTTTGGTTCGTGGTTTCTTAGTGGTATCTTTGTCTTGCGTTTTTGACTTGTTCTGGTTTCATAAAGACAGTTTGAAAGCTTTTTATTTCTCCTGTCTGGCATGGTTTGTATAGCATGGGAATGACCTTTCCCTGAAGGTATAGAAGGCATCACCCCAGTGCTATTTGAGTCCCCAGTCATTTGGGGAGTTAATTCTCTGACACTCCTTCTATATGTCTTTCATATTCTTAGTCTATGTATTTCTTCCTTTAAAACGTCTGCAGGTACCTGTGTTTGGCTCTCTTCCTGTGGATAACTGCTTGGTCTGAAGTTCCAGAAAGGATCCTGTTCCCAGACAGGTGATTACATATCTGAGGCTGTTTTGTTGCCTGAGGATGAGGGCTAGTATCATCTCAGGTACCAGAGTGTTCTCCTGAGCCTGTCTGCCATGTGGCAGAGTTGGGCCGTGTGTCCTTGCCTGTCTCCCTCACAGGCACAGACCTCTGCTCTTGGCCTTTCCTGGGTTAGAGTGACCATGTCTGAAATGTCACACCAATCATCTGGAGCCTGGACTCTCTGGCCTGCTGCCTTCCCTTGCTTTGGGATTCTTCTGCCCAGCAGAGCATTATCTATGTTGTGCTGTCTGTGGTGTCTCAGTCCTATGGAGAAGGGCAGCAAGGGAATAGTCCAGTCGCTAAGGTCTTCAGGATCGAGGCATTTGCACTGGATGGTGCCCAAGCTCCATGGGATAACTTACAAGAGAGAGCGCGGGAAGGCAGTTTGCATAGTGAGGGAAGTGGGAGCCCGTCACTGAGACGAGTAAACATGAGTTTACTACCGCAGTTACCACATTAATTTCCAAGTGATAATGTCTAATTGAGACTCTGAATAATGGAAACACCTTCAGTTTTCTTTTAGACTTTTTTAAATTAAAAAATTTAAACTTGCTTTCCTTTTAAAACAAAGGGAGAAAATTTTTGTTGCATATGGTTTTTTTTTCTTCTCTGGAAGTAAAGCCAGTAGGTAGTTTATGCTCCCAGACCTCGATTTCTTTCCCATATTGCCCTACTTAGTTGCACCAGTTGTGCTGACAAGTCTTAAAAATACGTAATAAAACGTAAATGATAGCACAAATGCTTTAAGGGAAACGTATAGCTTTACTTGGTTACGTAAAAAAGAGGAGAGATTGGAAATCTTTACGTTTATATCCAATCTCGAAAGTTTAAAAAATGGAAGGGGGCAGATAATAAAATAAAGACAAGGAGATAAATGAACTAGGTAAAGAAACAATAAGAAAGGAATGTCAAAACAGAAAGCCGATTCTTTTAGACAGATGAGATCTTTGATGAGATTGATGAAGGGCAAAAGAACATGCAGTAGCGTCAAGAGGCTCAGTGGTCACTTGTCACTGTCTGAGGGAATAATGTCATGTTACCTAGAGTTGAGTACTTTTAATATTTTTGAGTGGTCTTCCATTTTTTACATGTTGTATACTGTGTTTTAATGATTGTGTTAAGGGAAGAAATGTTAGGGGAGGATTTGCCCCAGCTCCTACTTCCCTTTTCATTTTTGCTAATAAATGTGCTGACATCTGAGTGTAGTACTGGCTAGGGCCTTGAACGTTTCTCTTGTGCCTTGCATTGGGCAGTTAAGTCTTTTTAGGTATCTTAGTTTATTTCAGCTTCACAATTCTGAAAGGGATGCAGGTGCTGTTATTCTCGTTTCTCAGATTACAGGGACAGACTCTAGGGCATTAGACAAGTTGCCCACAGTCACCTAACAAGTTAGTAGCAGACCTAACTCCTCAGGAGTAGGTCTATGTGAAGCCCAGGGGTCGTGCTTGTAACTGCTGTGCTGAGGCCAACTTTGTGCAGTTGTTTGTCTATTTCCTGGCGACTCCCATATCCCAAAGCATTGTTGATGCCCCTGGTAGGGTGGCCTTCACTGCTGCCTGGTCCTCAACTTCTGGGACATGTGTATATCTCCTTACGATCTACAGGTCCCTGAGTACTGACGGTCAGGGGCTGCCGCGTCTTTCCCGTTGACTCATGTTTGGTTCCTCCAGTGAAAATTTTACTTAGAGAAATGCTGTCTCCAAAGCACTTGTCTGCCACCACACCTAAGAAGTCCTGGGCCCCAAATCTGTATGAGCTAGACAGTGACTTGACTAAGGAGCCGGATGTCGTCACAGGAGAAGGTCCAACTGACTCTTAGTTTTTTCATCAGAGGTTTCGGAACCTAATCTACGTGGAATTTGTTGGGCCTCGGAAGACCCTGGTCAAACTCCGAAACCTCTGCCTTGGTTGGTTGCAGCTGGAGACTCGCACTAAGGAGATCATCGAGCTCTTGGTCCTTGAGCAGTACCTGACCATCATCCCTGAAAAGCTCAAGCCTTGGGTGCGAGCAAAAAAGCCAGAGAACTGTGAGAAACTCATCACTCTGCTGGAGAATCACAAGGAGATGTACCAACCGGAAGGTAAGAGTTTCCATGGGGTGATGGTGGTCAGTGCAGGCCTCAGGCGTGCCCTGCGGCTCTCAGCCTCCACTCTTCCAACTTGGTCTGGGCTGGATTATTCTCTGTCCTGGGCAGCGGTGGGGGTGTCCCGTGTACTGTGGAATTGAGCCGCATCATGATTTTCTGGGTGTGACCACCACAATTGTCCCCGCACGTGCCCAGGTATCCCCTGGCAGCCAAAACTGCCCTGGCGCAGAACCACCATCCTGAGTCAGGAGAGGGAAAGGAGACACCTCTGTGGAAGGGAGAAAACGTCTTACGGCTCCTGCCCTTTTGGTGTGGCGTGCTAGGAGATTGCCTTCTGGCTTTTTGTGTGAGGTCGGGGTGCTCACAGCCACCATGCTCCCCCCACAGTTTTTAGTATGTCAGGAGTGGTTGGAAGCCACTAAAGGGTTTTGAGCTCAACAATGTCAGGATCAGGTCACTCCAACCATGTGTGTGTGTGACAGGGAGATGCAACTCAGGGATTGGGGGGAACTATTGTGAGAATATGGGCCAGAGATAGTAACCAGGTCGATAGTAACCAGATGATGTGTCCTCTCAGACGACAACAGCAGTGACATGACCAGTGACGACGACATGGCCCGGGACAGAGGAGAGTCCTCACCACCTCACTCAGTCCATTCTTTCAGTGGTGAGTACTCATCCCCTGGGTCAACCATGGGCAGGCGCTGCCAGATGCTTCCAGGTGGAGACACAGTGGGTTGGGGCCTCCATGAAGATGCCCCGCCATCCCCAGGTGGTCAGCTTCACTCAGAGATCTGAGGAGAGGGTAAAGTAATTGATGGCATAATGAGATATTTTTATATCTAAACAGACACCTTAAATACTTAGTTTCATTTTATTCAACGATAAAATATTTAAAGCTATTTGGAATTTGCAGCAGGCTGCTTCCAGCTGTACCCCAGCCTCCCCAGGAAGGTTCATTAAAGATGCTTCAGTGAGCTTTTATAGGGAGCACTGCTTTCAGGGAGGGTGTGTGTGTTGTTTTCCTGGGTTTTGTGTTTTTTTGTGGTAGAATGACATGCACTTTAAGATTGGCTGCCAGACAGTAGACGGTCTGCAATCCATTCTCCTGAATGTGGACTCAGCCCCTTAGGAACTGGGAAGCCAGCAAAGAGTCTGAAGTGGGGGTTAGCTACTGGACTGAGCTTTGGAACTTGCTTGGAAGCAAGCCCCACTTGCGCAAAGCCTGCAGAAACCATGTTGCGGGTATATGATAAAGAAGGGGCCAGATGAGCCTGGGAATCTGGAGCTCTCTGTTTTGGATACATTCCTTGTGGGAAGAGGGTAGCATCTCTTTCCAGAGGGGTGTTTGTGCACATGCAGGGAAAACAGGTGTGTCGAAGTGCTTTGTTAACCACTGGAATGTCTCACCCGCTCAGGTGACCGGGACTGGGACCGGAGGGGCAGAAGCAGAGACATGGAGCCACGAGACCGCTGGTCCTACACCAGGAACCCAAGAAGCAGTGAGTCTTAACCACTTTCTTTCTCAGCAGGAGATATAGAGCATGTGCTGTGCGTAGGTTGAAGGGGAAAGTGCCAGGGCCTCAAAAGTTTCTGCTGCTCCATTTGGGCTCTTTTCTGCTTCCCCAAAAGTTGAGTCTGAGCCTCCTATTTGTGAAGTTCCACTCAGCGCCACCAGCACAGGTTTCACCACATAGACCTGTTGCCATCTGAACTATTTGCTCAGTGTTCTTAAGCTGGTGCATTTTTTTTAAAAAGCTAGAAGTTTCTATATGAAAGATTATGCTACTCTAAAAATTGAAAACTAGGCCGGGCGTGGTGGCTCACGCCTGTAATCCCAGCACTTTGGGAGGCTGAGGCAGGCAGATCACGAGGTCAGGAGATCGAGAGATCAGTCTGGCCAACATAGTGAAACCCCGTCTCTACTAAAAATACAAAAAATAACTGGGCGCAGTGGCAGGCCCCTGTAGTCCCAGCTACCCAGGAGGCTGAGGCAGGAGAATGGCGTGAACCCAGGAGGTGGAGTTTGCAGTGAGCCGAGATCACACCACTGCACTCCAGCCTGAGCAATAGAGCGAGACTCCGTCTCCAAAAAAAAAAAAATTGAAAACTAGTATAAAGTGCCATAGGCAGAAAGCAGAATGAAAAACACATTATAACAATGTTGTTAACTAGGAATGTCTGCAATGACTTCTTGCAGTGTTAGGAAAGTGCAGTGCCACATCTGAGCACCAGGCCTGAGATTTGAAAGGGAATCAATCATCACACCAATGTGGTGTTGGTGTCCATACTGCTGGAAATCATTTCCTCTTCTTCCTGGACTTGGAGAGCACTGCTCTGGGCAGCAGGGCACCCCTAAAATTGATCAGGAGAAGGATATCAGGAGTGAGTGACGTTTAGTGATGGTTCACAACACATTAGGCATTGTTCAGAGACATGACCCTGTGGAACGGTCTCTTGATGCCATCTCCCTGTCACACATTGCAGCTGGGGAGACCCAGAGGTTGTGCCCGAAGGATGAGGCTAGTGGGCACTGCACTGGACCCACACATCTTGGGCACAATCTGAACCACCTGTGAGACTGGGAGCAGAAGGATGAGGCAGGGTCCCTGGCCCTGCTCTGGGTCTGGGTTTTTGTGGGATTGGTTTTATGGGACTCCTCAGAGGCTGCCACAGAGTGCAGAGAAGAGAAAGGCACTTGCTGTTGTACACTCACACCCCAGCCGGCTTCACAGTTGAGTAGGACAGACCTGGGACCTGCAGGATGGACTGGGCCCTGCTTCTTGTTGATGCCTTTTCTGTTCCCAGGGATGCCTCAGCGGGATCTTTCCCTTCCTGTGATGGCGAAAACAAGCTTTGAAATGGAAAGAGATGATGACAGGGACTCCAGGGCTTACGAGTCCCGATCTCAGGTATGCTCAGGTTTCCTCTCTTTCTAGAAAGGCCATCTTCATTTCGTGGCAGAGATGCCTTTCTTTCCTCGGATGGTGTGTTTATTTATCTGCCCCTAGAGTCCCACCTGGGGTGACAGCCCCAGCCCTCCAGGAAGAGCCCAGGCCCATCCCATAGGTGACAAGTAGCCCAGGCTGCTGCTGGCTGGCTGTGTCGTTCATGTGGTCAGAGGAGCTACTGCCCCTCAGCATGTGTGTCACTTGGTAGGTTGGTCACATTGCCGTTCCCTACAGGGCCGGGGAAGCAGAGTGACTCTGGAGATGTTTCTGGTTCTCAAGAGGGAGCCAGGAAAGCTGTGGGTCTGCAGAGTAGACTGGCCAGGGAGAACAAAGGCTCTGGAGCTGACAAGAGCTGGGTTCAAAGCCTGGCTCTGCCACTTGCTAGCTGGCCTTGGGCCATTTACTCAACTAAGCTGAATTTCAGTTTCCTCATCTGTAAAATGAGTATGGTGATTGCTCCCAGAGCTGCTGTGAAAAGTCACTCATACACATACATAAAGTACCTGGCACATGGTAGGCATGCCATTAAATGTTATGGCAGTTGTGGTTTAAGAGGCAGCATGTGTCAGGGAGATTCATGAAGGGAAAAAAAAGGTGGGACTTGAGCTTGTTTTTTAGGAAGGAGGAAAGGGGTCACTTAGACATGGTGGAGTGTGGAGGAAGACCCCAGCACTGACTGGACTCAAAGAAGGGAGGAGCCATTGGGCTGAACCTTGCTTTCCTTCATGTATCAGTGCCCACCCCCTGTCAGATAGCAGGCCTAGGCCCTGGGGGGCACAGCAGTGAGCAACACAGAGAGGGGCCCTGCCCTGAGAAGCTTTTGACAGTTGCACAAATAAATATTGACATAAATGTTGTATATAACTGCTAATCGTTCTCAGTGCCCTCAAGGAAAAATAGAGAGTTAACAAGAAATTGTAACAAGGGCCTTGATTTGGATTGAAGGGAAATGTCTTGGAGGCATTAACAGTTGCCGTTTAGAGCAAGGAGCAGACTGGGTCAGGTGTTGTGGGAGGGGACCCCAGGCATTAGGGAGAGCTCAGCTAAAGTTGTGGGATAGGAACTAAACAAAGGGCCAAGTGACTGGGATACAGGAAGAAGGCTGCAGGCATGTGTGGGCCTGGCCATTGGTATCCTGGTAGTTGGGCTTTGTCTTGTTTTGCTTTTTAAATGCCCTTCCTTGACAATCTGTGAAGAATTGGCATCCAGGCCCCATGTCTGCATAATCAAAATTCTGGAAGCTACTGATTCCTACTGATGCAGTATAGTAGTAACCCCAGCAGCAAATGACAAATTACGTTTTGGAGGTGTACAAAAGAGAAAATTCTCTCATCTTTTAGCATCATGTGTAAATCTCTTAATTGTTCACGTGTATGGATCATGTTGTGAAAATTACATTGTGCCATACTAGCATTGTTTTCAGAACAGCATCTCTTCCGTTGAACTTGATTGCAGTTTGTATACATTAAGATGTCATTGTTGATTACAAACAAAGTGAACAACCAATGTAGGGCTGCCCACTTGCCTAGATTTTAATTTCAAATCAAAGTGTGCTTTTTCTTTCATGTGAGAAAAGAATTTTGTCTGTGAAGCTCTGCTTTGTTCCCTTGCCCTACTTAGTTTTTGTCGTTGTTTTTGCTTTTTTGTGGCAGGACACAGGCAGTGCATAAATAAGGCTTCCCTCTTAAACCCAGATGCCCGTACCTCTTTGTTTTCTTGATATATACCTTATTCAGCAAACCCTCTTTTTTGCTACATTTTTCATGTTGCTCCATGCCTTTTCCCAGCAATAGAACTATGGTGGATTTAATATCAAAACATATGTATTTCCTTTACATAATTTTTCTTAATATTTAAGCAACACATCACATTGCCGAAAATCCTCACCCACAGTATTGCAAAGCAGATAAATGCACTTCTCCCCATTTTACAGGTGAAGAACCTGAAAGAAAGGTTAAAAAAGATTTCTGTTCCCAAGGTTGCACAGCTCATAATCGGTGCGATCCTCCTTTGACCCAGATCTCTGTCCAGCTCCAAAGCCTGTGGGCTTCCCATAGCCCCGTCTCCCTCCTCAAGTCTCTCTCCAGCCTCAGTGCCGTTCTTCCTGGAACCATGACTCCCTGAAACCAGTAGTGTTCTAGTCGGCCCTCTGGCAATAAGCAAAGGTCCTTTAGGGTCCTGGTAGAAGGTTCTCCTGAGTAATTCGAGGAATTTTTAAATTCCGTTTTAGGTAAATGTCCATTAAAACAGAAAAGGCAATTATAAAAATGCCCTCAGGGCTTACAGTTATTCCTGGGTTATTTGGAAATTCTGCAAACTGGAAACTCCCTCAGTATAGCCGTGCTATGCCATGGAGAAACCAGGAGGGAGGTTTAAGTCACATCCTGACCAGACGTCTGCCTGAATGTGTGTGTCTTCTTTCTGTTCCCTGAGTACTCCATGCCTGTTTGATATTTAGTCTGTTTAAGTTTTCCCACCAATCCCTTTCTCTATGTATCATAACCTTACCCGCTACTTAAGGCCCCACCTGCCCTCCACAAACCTTTGCACACTGTTCAGGCCCACCCTGAACTGTCCCTCTACAAAACCCGTTTAGCACTTATTATCTGTACCCCAATTTATTGTTTATTGTTCTCTAATTGTTTCATGAGTCTTTTCTCTCCAACCAAATTATAAGCTGCATGAGGGCAAGGAATATGTGTCATGCGTCTTTGGGATCTGCCTCAGAGTGTAGCACCAAGGTAGGTACGACGTAGGCCCCTAGTAACACTTGACTTGGATCACTCAGAACCCCAATACCGTGAGCACTTACTATATAACTTCATATATGTAGCTCCCATGTCGCCAACATTATTCTGTCTTTGGATATCGGTGGGGACAGACTCCATTGAGAGGTCTGTGTTTGCTGTTTTAGGATGCTGAATCATACCAAAATGTGGTAGACCTCACTGAGGACAGGAAACCTCACAACACAATCCAGGACAACATGGAAAACTACAGGAAGCTGCTCTCCCTGGGTAAGCAGCTGCTTCTCAGTCACTCCCAGTCCAGTCATTGGAGCATTTTGTCATCTTGCTCCTTTTTAAGCTGGATGTTAGAGTCCGACACATTAATATATTTGGACTTCAAGGGTAGTAAGAAATCTATGAAAGATTTCAAATGAGGGAGTAAATGATGAAATGTGTGTTTTTAAGAAATACCTCTGGCTTTGGGTAAAGATATATTGTACAGGGTGGGGACAAGCAGGGAGATGCTTCTTGCCACAAGAGTTGATACCTTTTTCCAGAGCGGTAGCACTGGAGGTTTTTAAGTAGACATTCAGGATGGAATCCTGAGTTCCCATGTGGACTTTCCTGGAAGACATCTAGCCTAAATTGGTAGTGGGAAGTTGGCTGTCCTGCAGGTCTATAAGGCCGTGGGGCCTCAAGGGAGCGGGTGGAGGAAGAGCAGTCGTGAGGTAAGAGGAAGAAGGCCAGTGAAAAAGAGGACTTAAAAAGTGGTTACAAGGGCCGGGCACGGTGGCTCAAGCCTGTAATCCCAGCACTTTGGGAGGCTGAGACGGGTGGATCACGAGGTCAGGAGATTGAGACCATCCTGGCTAACATGGTGAAACCCCGTCTCTACTAAAAAGTACAAAATACTAGCCGGGCGAGGTGGCGGGCGCCTGTGGTCCCAGCTACTTGGGAGGCTGAGGCAGGAGAATGGCGTAAACCTGGGAGGTGGAGCTTGCAGTGAGCTGAGATCTGGCCACTGCACCCCAGCCTGGGTGACAGAGCGAGACTCCGTCTCAAAAAAAAAAAAAAAAAAAAAGTGGTTACAAGAAGGTGAAGACTAAAAGACAATGCACTGATTTCAGGGACATGTGAGGTCTTTGTGCACATTTCTGAGTGGAGTCAGAAGAATTACTTGCAGATTACAATGGATTAGGGAATAGATAGTAGGGAAATGAGACAGCAAATGTCTTCTGACATCCAAGGAATCAGATGTGGGCCACCTCATATTTAGAGGCTCAGTGAAAGATGAAGATCAATTTATGGGGATGAGTCTTGGTCCTCAACTTGAATTTGAGGCACCATATTGTCCTTGTGACCAGGAGTGCAGCTTGCTGAAGACGATGGCCACTCCCACATGACGCAGGGCCACTCATCAAGATCCAAGAGAAGTGCCTACCCAAGCACCAGTCGAGGTAAGCAGGAGGCACATCCCACAGAGGAGCCACACAGCCAGTAAGATGCTATCAAGGAACCTTCTACACTTTGCATTCCTAAACATCACAGAAGGGTGCACCCCTCCAAGTCCCACTGTCCTTCCTGTGGGGACTAGGGAGTATTTACATTTAGGGTTTCTTTCCAGGTCTAAAAACTATGCCTGAAGCCAAAAAATCAACCCACCGGCGGGGGATTTGTGAAGATGAGTCTTCCCACGGAGTGATAATGGAAAAATTCATCAAGGATGTGTCGCGCAGTTCCAAATCGGGAAGAGCAAGGGAGTCAAGCGACCAGTCACAGAGATTCCCCAGAATGTCAGATGCTAACTGGAAGGACGTTTCATTGCACAAGAGGGAGTCAGTGATCCAGCAGAGGGTTTATGAAGGGAATGCATTTAGGGGAGGCTTTAGGTTTAATTCAACCCTTGTTTCCAGAAAGAGAGTTCTGGAAAGAAAGAGGCGCTATCATTTTGACACGGATGGGAAGGGCTCGATTCATGATCAAAAAGGCTGTCCCAGGAAGAAGCCCTTTGAATGTGGTAGTGAGATGAGAAAAGCCGTGAGCATGAGCAACCTGAGCAGCCTCAGCTCCCCGTCGTTTACTGAGTCACAGCCAGTTGATTTTGGGGCAATGCCATATGTATGTGATGAGTGTGGGAGGTCGTTCAGTGTCATCTCAGAATTTGTTGAGCACCAGATCATGCATACTAGAGAGAACCTCTATGAGTATGGTGAGTCCTTTATTCACAGTGTGGCTGTCAGTGAAGTTCAGAAAAGTCAGGTTGGAGGGAAACGTTTTGAGTGTAAGGACTGTGGAGAGACCTTCAATAAGAGTGCCGCCTTGGCTGAACATCGGAAAATTCATGCTAGAGAATATCCTGTGGAATGTAAGAATCAGGAGTGTGAGGAGGCCTTCATGCCTAGCCCAACCTTTAGTGAGCTTCAGAAAATATATGGCAAAGACAAATTCTATGAGTGCAGGGTGTGTAAGGAAACCTTCCTTCATAGTTCTGCCCTGATTGAGCACCAGAAAATCCACTTTGGGGATGACAAAGATAATGAGCGTGAACGTGATCGTGAGCGCGGGGAAACCTTTAGGCCCAGCCCAACCCTTAATGAGTTTCAGAAAATGTATGGTAAAGAGAAAATGTACGAATGTAAGGTGTGTGGGGAGACTTTCCTTCATAGCTCATCCCTGAAAGAACATCAGAAAATCCATACTAGAGGGAACCCATTTGAAAATAAGGGTAAAGTATGTGAGGAAACCTTTATTCCTGGTCAGTCCCTTAAAAGGCGTCAGAAGACTTACAATAAGGAGAAGCTCTATGACTTTACAGATGGCCGGGATGCCTTCATGCAAAGCTCAGAGCTCAGTGAGCATCAGAAAATTCATTCTCGAAAGAACCTCTTTGAAGGCAGAGGGTACGAGAAATCTGTCATTCATAGTGGACCCTTCACTGAATCTCAGAAGAGTCATACTATAACACGACCTCCTGAAAGTGATGAGGACGAGAAGGCATTCACCATTAGCTCTAACCCCTATGAAAACCAGAAGATTCCCACTAAGGAAAATGTCTATGAAAGGAAATCATATGAGAGGTCTGTTATTCATAGCTTAGCCTCTGTGGAAGCTCAGAAAAGTCACAGTGTAGCGGGGCCCAGTAAACCAAAAGTAATGGCAGAGTCTACCATTCAGAGCTTCGATGCTATCAACCATCAGAGAGTTCGTGCTGGAGGGAACACGTCTGAAGGAAGGGAATACAGTAGGTCTGTTATCCATAGCTTAGTGACTTCCAAACCTCCAAGAAGTCACAGTGGAAATGAATTGGTGGAATCTAATGAGAAGGGAGAATGCTCCATTTATATCTCAGACCTTAATGATAAGCGACAGAAGATTCCTGCCAGAGAGAACCCTTGTGAAGGGGGCAGTAAGGATCACAACTATGGAGACTCTGTCATACAGAGTGTATCCCATGCCAGACCTCAGAAAAGTGTTCCTGGAGAGGGATCTGGTGAATTTAAGAAGGATGGTGAATTCTCTGTTCCCAGCTCAAATGTCCGTGAATACCAGAAGGCTCGTGCTAAAAAGAAATACATTGAGCATAGGAGCAATGAGACCTCTGTAATTCACTCTCTACCTTTTGGTGAACAAACATTTCGCCCTCGAGGGATGCTCTATGAATGTCAGGAGTGTGGGGAGTGCTTTGGGCGTATCTCTGACCTCACTGAGCACCAGAAGATTCATGATAGAGAGAAGCCCTCTGGAAGCAGAAACTACGAATGGTCTGTCATTCGCAGCCTGGCCCCTACTGACCCTCAAACAAGTTATGCCCAAGAGCAGTATGCTAGAGAGCAAGCATGGAACAAATTTAAGGAATTCAGACAATTTTTTGCCACCAGCAAAGACCTGAACACATACCAGAAAATCTATGAGCAAGAGAAGTCTCATGGTAAGGAGTCTCAAGGTGAGAAGATCCGTGGGGAGAAGACCTATAGCGAGGAGACCCACGACGAGGAGACCTACGGCGAGGAGACCCATGGTCAGGAGACAATTGAAGGCCCTGTCATTCAAGGCTCAGACATGGAAGACCTGCAGAAGGATGACCCTGATAACGCAATCTATGAATGTGAGGACTGTGGCCTGGGCTTTGTGGATCTCACAGACCTCACAGACCATCAGAAAGTCCACAGCAGGAAGTGCCTGGTTGACAGTCGGGAGTACACACATTCTGTAATTCACACCCATTCCGTCAGCGAGTATCAGAGAGATTACACTGGAGAGCAGCTGTATGAATGTCCAAAGTGTGGGGAATCTTTTATTCATAGCTCATTCCTTTTCGAGCATCAGAGAATCCATGAACAAGACCAGTTGTATTCCATGAAGGGGTGTGATGATGGTTTTATTGCCCTCTTGCCCATGAAGCCACGGAGGAATCGTGCCGCAGAGAGGAATCCTGCTCTTGCTGGGTCGGCCATTCGATGCCTTTTGTGTGGACAAGGCTTCATTCATAGCTCTGCCCTTAATGAGCATATGAGACTTCACAGGGAAGATGATTTACTGGAGCAGAGCCAGATGGCTGAGGAAGCTATCATTCCAGGCTTAGCCCTCACTGAGTTTCAGAGAAGTCAGACCGAAGAGAGACTCTTTGAATGTGCAATCTGTGGAGAGGCTTTCATCAACCCAGCAGAACTTGCAGATCATGTAACTGTTCATAAGAATGAGCCTTATGAGTATGGGTCCTCCTATACTCACACCTCATTTCTTACTGAGCCCCTCAAAGGAGCTATACCATTCTATGAATGCAAGGATTGTGGAAAGTCCTTTATTCATAGCACAGTCCTCACTAAACATAAGGAGCTTCACCTGGAAGATGATGATGATGATGATGAAGCAGCAGCTGCAGCAGCAGCAGCCCAGGAAGTTGAAGCCAATGTCCACGTTCCACAAGTAGTTCTGAGGATTCAGGGGTCAAATGTAGAGGCTGCCGAGCCAGAAGTGGAGGCTGTTGAGCCGGAAGTGGAGGCTGCCGAGCCAGAGGTGGAGGCGGCTGAGCCAAACGGAGAGGCTGAAGGGCCAGATGGAGAGGCTGCAGAGCCCAATGGAGAGGCTGAACAGCCGAATGGAGAGGCCGAGCAGCCAAATGGGGATGCCGATGAACCAGATGGTGCAGGGATTGAAGACCCAGAAGAAAGAGCTGAAGAGCCAGAGGGAGATGCCGACGAGCCTGACGGTGTGGGAATTGAAGACCCAGAAGAAGCTGAAGATGAAGAGATTCAGGTAGAAGAACCATACTATGATTGCCATGAATGCACAGAAACTTTCACTTCCAGCACAGCATTCGGTGAGCACCTGAAAACTCATGCCAGCATGATCATATTTGAGCCTGCAAATGCCTTTGGGGAGTGCTCAGGCTACATCGAACATGCCAGCACCAGCACAGGTGGTGCCAATCAAGCTGATGAGAAGTACTTCAAATGTGACGTCTGTGGGCAGCTCTTTAGTGACCGCCTGTCCCTCGCCAGACACCAGAATACCCACACTGGCTGAAGGCATGGGGTAAAGGTTAGAAAACCTTCACCTAGGACTTGACCCTTACCAAACCACAGAGAATTCAAACCAATCCATGACAATGTCAGTAGGAGACTTAACCTTAGTGTGTTACACACCTGACTTAACATCTCCAAACTCATATTGAAAAGAGAATGAATGTGGAGATTCCAGTCTTAAGCTTTCCCCTTCAGATGTCAGTGTCTGCATGTGGGAAAGCCACAGCACACATCTTACCTTTCCAAGTAACCAGATTGAGAAAACCCTATGAGTATTCCATACTACAAAGGTTGCCCAAACCAACTGTAAATGACACTTGTGTAATGTATATATAGTGTTTCCTGAGGTGTATATAAAATAGCAAATTATGGCAGAACAGTGATCACATAGATTTGGATTTAACATGATATACAGTTACAGTTTACAGAGGTACCTTACCTGGTACTCTGAATTTTTTTTTTTTTTTTTGGAGGAGGAAGAGAGCAACAAATTTGAATATATTTGTAAGTGTCTTAGATCCCAAGAAAGATTTATTGTGCATTATTTGAACCCTGTCAGTATCTTTTTCGAGTAATTGTTTTGTTTCTTACCCTTGAACAGTCTTGTGAAGGTGTGGGCATGATAGATAACATGTCTTTTACTCTTTGCTGTTTGAAAAGAGAAGTACTTTAGCTTCTTTCTGCAGCCATTTCGTCTGCACCAACACTTTGGAACCTAATACTGTGTAAGGCTTTACAATACACGGATTGACTTTTTGTGACCCAAATTGATTGGTTCCCACATCGTTATGTTTGTTGAAGTGGTTGTCATGTAAAAATATTACAAGTTTGTTTTCTGGATTTTTTTTTTTTTTAAACCAACTCAGTATGTGTTTGATGATAGTGAATTGATAAAACCCGAAGCTTTTCCCTGTAAATCTTACATCTTTGCCTTTAAAGAATGGGTTACAACCATCACTAGATCACAGTAGTGCCTAATGAAGGTTGAGAACCGTAGGAGAGGCTCTCATGCTGTAAATAATGATGCAGGCTAATGACCTTTCATCACTTCCTTTGTGCGCTTCCTGCCTTAAGTGACAAGTAGCAACATGGCTTGGGTCCCCTGTGCAGCACCAGCCTATGCTGCCACAAGTCAGTTTGCACCCTAGGTGCCCAGGAGCTAGTATCCTTAGATCTTTCTATCGCTAACTTAATTCTCTTCGTTATTTATCTGACCCTCTAACTCCATGTCTAACTTGCATTAAAAAAAAAAAATTGCTTTCTTTACAGTCAACCCAAGCTTAACATGGACTCAGGTTCCCCAGCAGCCTTAATTTGTTTTGTTAACATCTGTTCCTTCTTTTTCAGCTCTCCTAGAGTATTTCTGAGTGTCGCGTTCATCTAATCTTAGTATTCCTTTTAATCACAAATGGACCTCACAGCTTGAGGTTTCCTGTGTCCTATTCTGTGGACTACCTGTGCTCCTTTGCTTCCCCTACCCTTGCATAATAACTATATTAAGAGTTTTTTTTTTTTTTTTTTGGCCTTGAGTTGGCTGGAAAAAAAAATTTAAAATTTAAAAAATTTAAAAAAAAAAGATTTGCAAAATGTAAGTGTAGATCATTTGGACAAGCAAAATTAAAATACCCACTGGGGGAAATGTGTCTGAATCTTACTCTTCTGGATCTGCAGGATTAGGGCTTGGAAGTATGTCAAAGATGCAGGGAGTGTCAACATTTAGGAAGATTGTAGAGCTGAGAGCTAGAAGCAGAAATGAGTAAGCCAAAGAAGGGAGTCCTAATATATCACCAGATCTAGGAGGGGAGAGGAGACAGACAGAAGAAAACACCAGAGGCAAGAACTGTGGAAGGCCAGGTTGCTGAGAAGGAATTGAGTGGGGTGTCCTGAGCAGTTTGGAAAAGGAGCCTTTGATGGTTTGGTGTAGGTGAGAGCTAGCTGCATAGGAAGACCTGAGGTTGGAACGGACATCGGGAAGGCTGAGGGGCAGTGAGGTGTACTACATGGGAAGAGGACTCTTGAAACGAGAATCAATGTTGATGTCGGGGTGAACTTTGTGGGTTCGTTACTTGGTGTTAACATTGTTGGCAGTGGTAGACCCTTTTCAGAAAGCACCTTGCCGTAAGTAAGGGTGTCCGTTCCAACCTTAAGTTAGTGAAAAGGTAGTAACAAATGGTAAACAAGAGAATGATTGCTTCAGCCTATCTGTGGACACTTAATGCAGCTGTTTAAAAATGGTAATCACGAGTTATGTAGCAACGTGGAAATATATTTACAGAATATTAAGTGGAGAGAGCAGGACATGAAAGTATATTTATACTACAGTTATAACTGTTTAAAAATATATGCTTATAGTCAAAAGCTGTTGTGGTGGTGTTGTAGGCTTATAGTTGAGCATTATTTTCTTAAATTTCTTGAGTGTTCTTTATGGTAGTGTTACTAAAAAGTTTATGATCACATTTCCATTGTGAACATAATTTGAACTCATTATCACACACTTGGAAATTACAGAGAAGTGGAGGAAAAAAAATCATATTCCCACCATCCAAAGACAGATATAGTCTCCTCTATCTTGTTTATGCTTGTTTCTGTGCACAGGTTTATGATTATAACTGTGTCAAAATGTATATTCAAAATAGCTTGTTACGTTACCTTTGTGGAATTATGGTTAAATACTTTCACCTTAATTTTTTCAAATGTTCCCTATAATAATGTCCTGATAACAGTGTATTATGTATGTCTCCATTGTGTGCATAATACATACCCAGAGGAAAAATTAGAAAATACAGTAAATTATTTTTAAAAATTACCTATATTCCCAACACCCAACAACTACTGCTAACATCTTGATCTATTTCCTCCGTCTTGTTTCAGTGCACAAGTTTGTGATTATAACACTGTTAAATATGTGTGCATAAAGTCTAAAATGAAAAGATGTGGAAAATAGCTAAAATAGTGTTGTCGTTGTGGGAACTTGGTTAAATATTTTGTCTCAAATTCCTTAAATAATCTTTGGTGTCTTGGTAATAAATTTTATGTATGTATTTTTCCATTACAAATATAATACATACTCATAGAAAAGTTTGGAAATTCAGTAAAGAAAATTCACTCATATTCCCAACACCCAACAACAATTACTGTTAACATCTTGATCTGTGCACTAGTCTGTGATTATTAGGGTGTTAATGATAAGTTTGCATAAGTGTCAAAGATGGGAAGAAAGATGGAAAACAAGAAATAGTTGTGTAGTTGTTGTGGGATTATGGTTATTTTGTCTCGGTTTTCTTGAAAGGTCTTCATCATTCTAGTGTTTTGGTAGTCCGCCTTTATTACATATATTTCCATTATATATGAAATATGTGTTCATTATAGAAACTTCGAAGTTACAGAAATGTAGAAGAGAACCTCACCCATGATTTCACCATCCAAAGACTGTGGTTAACATCTTGATATATTTTCTTCATCTTGTTTCTGTGCACAGGTTTTTGGTTTGTTAATATGGTTGTGGTCGTTCTATCTATCTGTAATAGTGTCAACAATAAAAATAAAGTTAAAAATAAATATTTGCCAGTCTCTTTTGTCTGTTTTGTGTTTGGGGTTGTTAAATATGTTCTTTTGTTAGAGTTATAAATCCAAAAACTTAGTCCCTCCTTAAGCCTAAAAGTTTTGGTTTACAAATCTTATTCTATTTTTAAGTATTATCTATTTCAATGATTACTTCTAAGGGATTTTAAAATACTGTCTGATGTCACATTTGTAACTGCCCTTATGAAACTAAAACATACGTTCCAACAATGTTTTTAAACTTGATAATGAGCACAAGTACATCTTAGTTACTTGAGTGGGCATTTTTAATTGGAAATGTGAGATTGTCTCAAACATAAAAAAAATCACAGAAAATAATAAACCCTTAACATAAAAGTGTTAATACTATATTATATAATCTCAGGTGTTTATTCCTGACTCTTGCCTGAGGTTAAAAGGTAATTATCCTGAGTGGGTCATCTCGGTACCGGTTTTCCCCCAAGTTCATTAACCATACTTTAACCTGACTTCCCCACCAGAAACATCCCATGCAATTCAGCAGGTTGTCATCCCTGATAGTAATTTTTAAACATGGCTGTGATTCCATAGTGATCAGAGCTTTTCAACCAACTTGCTAACTGGAACGCTGTTGGCGACCACAGTGGGTGGCACCATACCCAATTTGCGACTGCTGTGTCCCCGATTCCATAAGTCAGAGGAGATGATTGTGTATTCATGTCCTTCGTGTCACATGATTGGATTATGCTCTTAAGATATAAAAATGTACTTGCCACTAATTCTAACTAGGGTTTGACAGAGTCCTGCATTCTTTCATGTTCTTAGAACTTTATCTCTTGTGGCATCTGACTATTTTAGTCACAGCTTCCATGGTCATTCTGTGACAAGGGGCATCAGCATAGGTCAGGGTGGGAGGGTCGGGACTTTTTAAGGATGGATTCCCTAAATAATGCGTTACAAAAGGCTGTAAAGGAAGGGAATGAAGTAGGTGTCATTAGGGGTTGTTTGACCAGTCCTTATACTCTGGGGCAATTCCTTCCTCCACCCCACACCCAGTTGAAGGGGTAACTAACTTCCCTACTGCTATGCTTATTCTGTTAGACTTGACCTCTCCCTCGTGTCAGTTGATTGGTGCCCATAGGTTCCTGGTGTTCAGTCAGACTCAAAAGAGAGTGAGGGCTACCTAGGTGGTCATATGGGTTGGGGCTGGGTATACTCATGAACAAACAGACCTAGAAGGAAATAGGCCATAAAGCCAAAGGGAATCCTGGTTCCTGGTGCCTCACCCACCCCAGTGCCTTATGGAGTCTGGCTGAACTGCCTGCCCTTGGGTTTCTTTTACATGGTTAATCCACTTTTTGACAAACCTCTCATGGATTAATGGATGTTGAATCTAAACACTAATTGTTGGGGATCAGAACGTTGCAGGGTGAAGAGCAATGAATATATGCTGTCTGCAGGCTAGCCAGCTCTCGAGTTTAAGTCACTCCTCCCCTAGAAAGGCAGGAGTGAGAAAGAAGCCAGGACTGGTACCATATCTCCCCACCAGCCAGACAGCAGATTGATCATACCAGTCCCTTTTAACCACAGAGAGGGCAGTTTTCTAGCCTTATGGAATAGAGATTCATCCTGGGCTTAGATTTTTCTTTTCCTGCCCGCCAGCCTCTCACGAATGTCTGCCAACTTCCTGCATGCCTCGTACCACTTACATACCATATACAGCAGCAAGGAGTACAGAAAAAATCTGGGGAGACTACTCTCAAACCAAAGTAGTTCAAGAAGGTTCCCCAGGATAATTGCATTGTTTCTTCCACAAAGCCAAAGGGTGAATTGTCCAGGATAGCTCTTCTGTATGCCCAGCACCCACTAAATAACAGCACACTGCATGGTTTTGGTGAACTATCCTGACCCCATTCCTTCTGATCACCATCTCTGCCCCTCCCTCATGCCAGCAAAGGGATAATTATGTGGTTTGGGGTAGACCAATCAGACTTCCTTACCCAAGAATTTGAATCTTTTCAGCAGAGCAATACATGGATTGAAGGTGTTCAAAGCCCAGTCATTCTTATGGCCACACTGAGAAGAGACAGTCTATTATTTCCCCCTAATGAGATTAACGAGTCTTCTCTGATTGCTGTCCTACTAGAAGGACTGATTATTAACTCTTTACTCACTATTTTAAGCCACACAATATTATTCCAGTAAGATTCAGTTTCCCCCTTAAATTAACTTGAATGAATTTATGTTGCTTGCAAGCAGAGAATCCTAGCACAGATGTGGTTTCTTTTTAATTTTCATTCTTTCTTATTTATTTCTTGAGACCGGGTCTCACTCTGTTGCCCAGCCTGAAGTGCAGTGGCACAAACACAGCTCACTGCAGCCTCGACCTCCTGGGCTTGAGTGATCCTCTGGCCTCACCTTTCTATGCAGCTGGGATCCACAGGCAGGTGCCACCACACCCAGCTGATTTTTTAATTTTTTGTAGAGACAGGAGCTCAATATGGTTCCCAGGGCTCAAGTGACCCTCTTGCCCTGGTCTCCCAAAATCCTGGGATTACAGGCATGGGCCACCGTACCTGGCCTAGATGTTTTTTGTTGTTGTTGCCCTGTCAGAGATATTGATGACCATTCCATACTCAAGAATACTTCTTTTCAAGGGAATCTGTCCTATCACAGCTGAACAGATGGAAAGTTTCTATCTGTATAATCATAACATGATACAAATGGGAACTCACTTTCTCAAAAAATTCTGATTTAAGTTCTTTATTCTCTTTTTTCCCCCATCCCATCATGAGGAAGCACATAAAGAAATACATCGGTCATTTGCCTGTCATCCTGAATTAGTCTTCAGGGATCACTGTGAGAGAGGTCAACTTTCATTTTGGTTTATAACCATATTTTGCCTTTATTCAAGAACCATGAGGTCTCATCTCCATGCAAGGTCTTCTTAAAATTTCTCTGACTCTGAACTCTCAAGCCACCTTCATTCACTCAATAATTGATGGGCCATTTGTAAGTGTCAGATACTGTTTGGGGCATTTGGGATTCTGTGGGGGGCAAATCAGACATGGTCCCTGCCCTCATGGAACCAAGAATATGTGTATATTTGGGCTGCCATAACAAAATTTCTTAGACTGGGGAATTTATAAACAACAGAAATTTATTGCTTACAGTTCTGGAGGCTGGGAAGTCCAAGATCAAGGTGCCAGCAAATATGGAGTCTGATGAGGGCTTGCTTTCTGCTTCAAAGATGATGACTTCTTGCTGCATCCTCACATGGCAAAAGAGGCTAGGTAGCTCCCTTGCACATCTTTTATAAGGGCACTAATCTCATTCATGAGGGCTTAGTCCTCATGACCTAATCTCCCCCTAAAGGGCCCACATCTTAATACTATTGGATTGGGGTTTGAACATCAACATGTGAGTTTTGTGGGGACACAAACATTCCAACCACAGAAGTATGTATGGGGAGGAAGGCAGTAGCATTATATCTCCTAATATACACTCTCCTGCTCTTACTAACTGTTGACTGGTTATGTGGCTATTTAGAAGAAGTAAATATTTTCTCAGCTTCCCTTGCAGCTAGATGTAGGCATGTGAGTAATGTCTGGTCCATGAGATGAGCACAGTAAAGGTGTGTGTCATTTCCAGGTCACAACCAGCCTTCTACTCTCTCCTCCCCCTTCCCCACAGGCTGGAATGTAGATACAATGGTAGGAACTGGAGTAGCCATCTTGGATCAAAAGATGGAAACCATATATTGAAGATGTCAGAGTAATGAGATAAGAGCTTGTGTCTGAT